CCTCCAGGCCCTGTTAAAACATGATCTCATACAGGGAATATTTCCAATTTTTGAGGCAGCCCCGCCCCTTGCAATTCCCAATGAATCCTGGGGTGGGAAGGACTCCGCTCCAGAGGGGCTGGAGCAGCCTGGGGGGACACAGGGACTGGCCTGGGATGAGCTGCTGAGGAAAAGCAGAGCTGAGATAACACTGGGCTCCCTTAAATGTGTCAATCCCACGTGTTTTCCTGAAGTGCATCCCACAGGACAAATGGATTAGACATGAATGCCACAAAATAAACCCATTTACACTCCTCTATCTGGGCTGAATTGCAGGAACAGCAAATACTGGTCTCACCTAAAAAATCTGGGCAAGGCTTCCTGCCCTGAGCAGGGATTTGGGGCACGGGAGGATTTTCATGGATGTTTCACCCAGGAAATTCTCACAGACCTTGGTTGCCAGTCCTGAACTGCTCCTTCCTGAGCCTTTCCCCCCACCCTGGGACCACCTCTCAAGGGTTTTGCTTCACAGAATCCACCACTAAACTGTAGCACCACATTCAAGCCATGATTCCTCTCTAAAAAATCACATTTCTGCTCAGAAGTGGATGCTCCTAAGCACAAATACTCACACAGGAGCTACTTTCAACCTACATTTCAGTAAGAAAATCCAATTATAACGGTCTAGCAATTTGGAGACAAGCACTTGCAACCTTACTCAGCCAGAAAAGATTGAAGATGGATTTCTTCCCCTGCTGCAGAAAATACTTGGAAATAGAATTAAGCATTTCTCTGTTGAATTAAACTGGTTTAAGGTTTAATCAATAGTTACTTCAAATCAGAGCTGGCATTGATTAAAATCTTCAAGCTGGCCATTCCCAACAGGACTCAGGCAGTCAGGGGACATTCTTTGGGAGACAACTCTGGACGTAATGGGAGGCAAAATAAACTGTTTGTGTGAGATCACACTCAGGAGATGGCATTGAAATACCAGCCCTGGAGCCACATTGCTCCCAGACAGCTCCTGGGAGGGGGATTTTGGGGTGCCCTCAGGGGGGAACTCCTTCCCACACAAACCAGAGCAAACTCTCACTGACTCTGGAGCCAGACTGGGAGAGCTGGGGGGTTCACCTGGACAAGAGAAGGATCCAGGGAGAGCTGAGAGCCCCTTCCAGGGCCTAAAGGGGCTCCAAGAGAGCTGGAGAGGGACTGGGGACAAGGGATGGAGGGACAGGACACAGGGAATGGCTTTAAACTGACAAGGGCAGGGTTAGATGGGATATTGGGAAGGAATTGTTGGCTGGGAGGGTGGGGAGGGAACAGGATGGAATTCTCAAAGAAGCTGTGACTGCCCCTGGATCCCTGGAATTGTCCAAGGGCAGGCTGGATGAGGCTTGGAGCAACCTGGGGTAGAATCCACCACTTCCCTGGGGAGGTCATTCCACAGGCTGAGTATTCCAGGGCTGAAACACTTTCCTGTCACTTGTTACTTGACCCCACCTTCCAGATCACTCCAGATCCCTCTGGCCTCGAGTTTTCTGCTGCATTTGGTGCAGCTGCACCACAACCAGACACAAACTGAACCCATTTCCACCTCGATAACACCCATCTGATTTTTCACCTTCACACCCCAATAACACCCATCTGATTTTTCACCTTCACACCCCAATAACACCCATCTGAATTATCACCCTCACCCCTGGGTCACATCCCTCCCTCCCCCAGCTCAGGATCCCCCCTGACACAGCAGCACCCACACCTGCACAGCTCATCACAAATTCCCCACCAGACACGTCCAGCAGGAGCATTTTTTTTTTTATTTTATTTCCTTCTCCTCACCTTCTTTTGCCACAAAAAACCATCCCAAACCCTGCATTGATAAAGGGAAAATCACAGCCAGTGCAAACCTGGGCCCTCTGTGCCCGTGTCAATAAAAATCAGTCTCTCTGTCACACACTAAACATATTAAACCATAAAATCATATTCTTCCTTAAGAGCAAACCATTATAAATTGGCTTTTGGAACAATTTGATACTCCCTAAAGACAGAGGATGTACAGAAAGCTTCTGTCTGAGGAGGAAAATGGGGAAATTATTTTTCTCAATGCTTTCTGTCCTTTCACCAGAGAAGACAAAACTTCTTTTCATCAGGAAAATGCATTTAGACACATTTCCCTCAGTGTTAAACAGCCCTTCTCCCTCCAGCTGAGCACAACCAGTCACTGAGGTGAATATTCCCGTTCTCCTTCTGTTCTTTGCGGGCATTTGGGAATAAAATCCAGGCAAAAAAGCATTAATTTCATTTAAAATCTCATGGGAACCTGAAGGATTTCATTTCAATCAAAGCTTAATAAGCAAGACTTGAGCCAAGTGACAATTCAGTTCAAAAAGCCAAAGTAATGGGACATTTTACAAGACTTGATCACCTGTGTATAAGTGATCAATTTTGCTTTTATTTATCACAATTTTTATTGGTTATAAACTGCTGTACCTATAAATCAGATCAGGGGATTTACAGAAAAAGGGAAAAAAGGAAAACAGGGCAAAAAATGAACTGGAAGAAGATCAAATCCAATAAACACAAGGTTTCTATAACAGTTCTGTAAGGAAAAAAATCCCACCTCTAAAAATCTACTTCCAAAAGCAGGAAGTTTGGACAATGCTCCACACACGAAATTCCAGTTGGATATTCTCTGGAAAATCTGGAAAATATCCTGTTATGCAAAAGATTTCCTCTGCAAATTCCACTGAAAATAATTCAGTGGACCTGGGGAAACTCCCCCTCAAGCTCTGCCACAGCCCCCAAGTCACCACACACAAACTTCAGGCTTCCCTCACAAATTATAAGGTACTAAAATTAAAAATCAAAATAAAAAACCCTCCAAGCCCCCTTCAGTTTTTCAATCATTGCAAAAATCCTTGATAGATGTTCCAGAAAATGTTTATGGACAAAAGGAAAGGAAAGCCACATCCTGCAGGTAGATTTTGGCATTGGCAGCATTTTCTCTTTATCAGCTGTAAAATGTCAATTTTTAACGGCTGACAGCAGAGCTCTGGAAATTTGTAAAGCAGACATTGATGTTTTTATCTTTTCAAAGCCTCGGGAATAAAGTTCTCCCTGAAGATCAAAATATTTAAATTATTCCAGGTGATAAGAGGCACAAGAGGGTGTTTTGTTATGGAGAAGTGAAGGTTCCAGGGAGAGCTCAGAGCCTAAAGGGGCTCCAGGAGGGCTGGAGAGGGACTGGGGACAAGGGATGGAGGGACAGGACACGGGAAGGGAGAAGGGAAGGTTTGGGAAGGGGAAGGAAGGGAAGGTTTGGGAAAGGAAGGTTTGGGAAGAGAAAAGAAGGGAAGGTTTGGGAAGGGAAGGTTGGGAAGGTTTGGGAAGAGAAAGAGAAAGAAGGAGAAGGAGGAGAAGGAGGAGAAGGAGGAGAAGGAGGAGAAGGAGGAGAAGGAGGAGAAGGAGGAGAAGCTGAGAAAAAAATATATGTTCACAGATATATGTTCCCACTGCCAGAGGGCAGGGATAGGTGGGATATTGGGAAGGAATTCCTGGCTGTGAGGGTGGGGAGGCCCTGGCACAGGTTGGGCAGAGAAGCTGTGGCTGCCCCTGGATCCCTGGAAGTGTCCAAGGCCAGGTTGGATGGGGCTTGGAATAATCTGGGCTGGTGGAAGGTGTCCCTGCCCATGGCAGGGGGTTGGAATGGGATGATTCCCACTGTCCCTTCCCTCCCAGCCCATTCCATGCCCTCAGACTCACCCGTCCAGCCGCACGTCGGGCAGGCTGCGGTTCAGGGCGATCAGGTCACTGGCCATCAGGTTGAACTGGTTGATCTTAAACAGCTCCTTCATCTTCTCCTGCTCGTCCTTGGGAATGAGCACAGCCTTTCCCATCTCTCCTGGCCCTTCCTGGTTCCGGGAAATAACGGCTGCAACACAAACAGCAAAAAGCCACTTCCAGCTGGGCGGTGTCGGATTTATCCGGCGGGGTTTGGTGTTCAACAAGGAATGCTAAAAACCAATAAAAACACACATTTTCCCTGCTCCACTGGGAGGTTTTCTCTCCCTCCAGATCCAACATCTGGTTTTACTCTGAGATGATTAAACCCCCCAGATCTGTTCACCTGCAGCTCTTGGCCGTAATCACAACAACAATAAATGACAGTTCCCAAGAGATTTCCAGCAGGATGGCAGAGCCCAGCACCAGAAGCTGTGCTGTGAGAACCTGCAGACAGAAAACGTTTGGAAATCACTTCTATGGACCCTGGAAATACCTGAAGAACATGTATATTAATCGAATTTTAACCAATTCCTTCCGGTTTTTATTCAGTTTTAATTCCCAGGCATGTAACAGCACAAGCCCATCCTGGTAAAGAATTAAACAATCTTCAGTGACAGAGAGGAAATTATAATATTCCAACCCTACAGAGGGTCTTTTACATCTTATTAGAGATTATTTTGGGGAAATATTTGTATTTTGAATTTTAAGGAAAACCACAGTATCATCTCATATAAGCACAGGAAAATAAACAAGATACATCCTGCCTTTTTAGGGAACAGTAGAGGGAAAGAAAGGAAAAATCCCATGTGCAGAAATAATTATAATATTCCCTCCCAGTGGCACTTCCAAATGGTTTGGGCTGTGAGATGAATTCTCTGAGATAAAATTCTGTCTGGTTTGTTAAAATAAATACATTTTAATAAATTTTCATAAAATAAATTTTAATATTATTCTATTAATGTTATATAGAATTTTATATACTTATGTTGATTGTATTAATAAATAACAAGTTAATTATTTAATATTTATATATATATATATATACATAATTTTTTTTACATGACATTAAGTAGCAGTGCAGTCACAAATTCCAGTCCCAGCTCCAGGTGAGAGGGATCAGCAGCTCTGCTCAGACATGGAAAGAGGGATGCTCCCAACTCCAACCCATGTTAACCCCCAAGCCCCTCATCCCAAGGGAATCCTACTGGATACAACAGTCCCTGGAGTCCCCCCGTTAAGATTCCAGGTCTATCCCAAAGCAGTTCCATCTTTGCTGTAATCACAGCAGAAGTGAGGAATTCCTTGCTGTTGCAGCACATCCAGGTGCTGCTCCTGATCCAGGGGAAGGATAAAATCCATGAGTGAGTGTGGAATGACTTTCTGACCGCCCCAGGTTCCCAGGGTGTTCCCATCCTGGCTAAGGGATGCACAGGGATGGGATGCACAGGGATGGACCCCCAGCCCTGCCCTCTGTGCCCCATTCCATGTGCAGGGTTATCAGGGTTATTCCCAGCTCACGACCAAAGGGCAGCTCCTGCAGGAGAAGGATAAGGGAGAAAAACGAACATTTGGGGTGAAAAAGCAACAAAAACCCAGCAAGGACCGTAAATCCTTGGATCTGCCCGGCGTTGCCGGGAGTGTTTGGGCAGCAGCCCCCGGGCAGTGCCTGTGCTGAATTGTTAAACAAATTGAAGGCTTTGAAACCTATCGAGCCCGGCTTTTTTTTCCCCTCTTTTTATCTCGAATTCCGTGCTCTCTATTCCCCACTGCCCCGCAGACCCGGAGCTTGCACCGAGCCCTTGGGAGGGGTTGTTTGCATTTCCAAAGGAGCTCCATCGGTGCTGACAGATGATGAAAAATGGCTGCAGGCAGAAAGCTGGAAAAACAGCATTTCCATTCCTCGTGGGCACCCCTGGAGTCGGCTCCCTGCTCCCGTGTGCTCCGGGATGGGCAGCAGGAGAGGAGCTGCTTGGCCCTGGCCTTGCAGTAAAGCTGGTTCTGGTGGATGGATTTGCTTTTAAATAATAAAAACAGGCACTCTTCCAAAATATTTGCAATTCCCTTCAGCACTTTAAAGAGGAGGAGTGCTGAATCACTGCTCCCTGGTGCAACTAGTGCATGGAATTAAGGGAGATGTCTCCTTGGAAAAGTGGGAAGTGTGTGCAGCTCCCCCTGGAATTGCACAGGGGGTACAAAGTGTACAGCTCCTTGCAGGGACTACTTTGGTTTCAAAACCATGACAAATCAGCCCAGAAGAAGAGTTTGCCTGCAAAGTAAAACAGCCTTGTTTGCTTTGCTAGGAATTTATGGATTTCCCAGGATCCCGGACTGGTTTGGGTGGGAAGGGACATTAAAGCCCACCCAGTGCCACCCCCTGCCATGGGCAGGGACACCTTCCACCAGCCCAGGTTGCTCCAAGCCCTGTCCAACCTGGCCTTGGACACTTCCAGGGATTCAGGAGCAGCCACAGCTTCTCTGGGCAACCTGTGCCAGGGCCTCCCCACCTTCACCATCAACAATTCCTTCCCCAATAATTTGTTGCCATAAACTCCACACAGAATCCAATAAAGTCAAGGATCGATTTGCCATTTCCCTGATGAATCTCTGCTGCTCAGAACTCCACACGGCCTCATCTTAATCCAGAACATAAAGAATTCTAGTTTTAATTATACAGCAGCGATAAATCCTGTAAAGTTGTCATAAACATCATTAAATAGATCATTTACTTCACAGTGTTTCTCAACACAAGAGTGCCAGGATTCCACAAAAAGAGTTGCTTTTCAATACTAAAGCATCAGCACTCGTAACTTCTGCCAGAAATAAGACATTTTTAGCATTTCTGGTACACATGTTGTCTGGAGACAGCCCAGCCCACGCTGCCTCTGCTCCCAGTAGCCTCGAGGCAGAACAGCTGAAGAAGAGGTGCAAGGAGGTCTGGAGTGAGAGAATAAACTGAGCTGCAGGGTTCCAAAAAACCACCTTTTGGGAGGGATGGGAAATTTTTTTAAGGGATAGTGGCTGGTGCTTCTGAGAGAAGATCTGAAAGGAGGCACCTTCTCATCCAAAAAATGCAGCAGCTCTTATGTTTTTGTAGGAAAACCAGCGTGTCACAGCCCCAGGGCAGTGCCTGTCACACCTCCAGGGCTGGGGCAGGGAAGAGAAGGAGCTGGGAAGGGGCTGGAGCAGCAGGAGGGGCTGAGGGAGCTGGGGGGGCTCAGCCTGGAGAAAAGGAGGCTCAGGGGGGACCTTCTGGCTCTGCAACTCCCTGACAGAAGGGGGGAGCCGGGGGGAGTCGGGCTCTGCTCTCAGGGAACAAGGGACAGGAGGAGAGGGAACGGCCTCAGGCTGTGCCAGGGGAGGCTCAGGTTGGACATCAGGAGGAATTTCTCCTGGAAAGGGTGGTCAGGCCTTGGAAGGGGCTGCCCAGGGAGGTTTGGAGTGCCCAGCCCTGGAGGTGCCCAAGGCACTCAGTGCTCTGGGCACAGCCAGCTCTGCACAACGTTGGAACTTTAAATCCTTCAGGTTTTCCTGTTTGCACCCAAAGGGAACCATCAGCCCCAGGGCATACACAGCCCCTCAAGCCCCCCAGCCAGAGCAATCCCAGGGAAACAAAGGACATCTCATCCTTTCCACAACAGTCACACCCCAGCACTGGCCCACCTAACACCTGATTTCCCAGCTACACACACCAACCAAGGGACAGGAGTGACAGGGGGAGTAAAGCAACACAGATTCCATCCTGGAAATGCACTGGGAAGAAAAAAAGGAAAAAGAAGAGAGAAACGGAAAAAAATGGGGGGGGAAAAAAGGAAAGGGGAGAAGGGGGAGGAAAGGGGGAAAAACTGCAGCAGGGGAGGGTCAGGTTGGACATGAGGAGGAATTTCTCATGGAAAGGGTGGTGAGGCCTTGGCAGGGGCTGCCCAGGGAGGTTTGGAGTGCCCAGCCCTGGAGGTGTCCCAGGAAGGCCTGGCCGTGGCACTCAGTGCTCTGGGCTGGGGGACAAGGGGGGCATCGGGCACAGAGGGGACTGTATGATCCTAGAGGCCTTTTCCAACCCCAATAATTCTGGGATTTTAAAGCTCAGTAAAACCTCTTCCCAGCCCAGCTCAAGGTCTGTGGGCAACCAGACGCCTGTGCTGGGAGGCTCCATAAATCTGTTTGTTCCTGGGAGAGGTGCTGTGGGGGTGGGACGTCTCCTCTGCTCCACAGCAGCTCCACGAGGCTGCCACGGATGAGAGAATTGGCAATTTGGGAAAGCATTAACTAAATTAATGGATGTGTTCTCATCATCATTATGGCACCAGGGCTAAAGATTAAAAGACTTTAAATTAAAGAAATTTGAAGGTATCATCTCCACAAAGTGCAGCTGCAAGGAACTGCCACACAGCAAGGAGAGTCATTACTCCTGGTCCCCGAAAAGAACACATTTAAGAACAAGCATTTGCAACACAAGGGCTGAAATACTGCCTGGAGCTGTGATATCCAGGGAATTCCACACAGGGATATAGAAATCACGCACTAACAGGCTCAAATTCCTCCCACAGCACGACAGAGCCGTGGACACTGGGGCTGGAAGGTTTCAGAATAGCAATAAAACACAGAAGTTGTCAATTAAATTCAAATTAATTTAGATATTTGTTTCATCAGGAGGGTAGCATTTTCCTCCTCACAAGAGCCAGGAAGATTCCCAAGCATTCCTTAAACTGCTCCCTAATTTACCAGATTCTCACAGCTCCTCTTGCAGTGCTCGACCCAAGCCAGGGGAACAGCAAAATGCAAACTGGAATGGTGTTCCCTGGATCCCAGTCCTTCCCAGCTGCAGCCATGCACACCACACATGTGGCTGCCTTTCTTTCTGGGGAAAAAAAATAAGTTTAATCCCATTCGTAAATCCCAAAATCGTGGAATGGTTTGGGTGGGAAGGGATGATAAAGATCAGCTCATTCCCACCCCTGCCATGGGCAGGGACACCTTCCACCAGCCCAGGTTGCTCCAAGCCCCATCCAACCTGGCCTTGGACACTTCCAGGGATTCAGGGGCAGCCACAGCTTCTCTGCTCAACCTGGGCCAGGGCCTCCCCACCCTCCCAGCCAGCAATTCCTTCCCAATATCCCATCTCTCCCTGCCCTCTGGCAGTGGGAAGCCATT